GGGGGGCTGCAGTGATGGTTGACTTTCTACAACTTTCTCCCATCTCCCGACTGCATCTCTGGAGCTCAGCCACAGTCATCTTTGGGTTCTTCTGTACCTCTCTCACCAAGGCTCTTCTCCCCCGATAGCTCAGTTTGGCCGGATGGCCAGCTCTAGGAAGGGTTCTGGTCGTCCCAAACGTCTTCCATTTAAGGATTATGGAGGCCACTGTGCTCTTAGGAACCTTAAGTGCAGCAGAAATTTTTTTTTGTAACCTTGGCCAGATCTGTGCCTTGCCACAATTCTGTCTCTGAGCTCTTCAGGCAGTTCCTTTGACCTCATGATTCTCATTTGCTCTGACGTGCACTGTGAGCTGTAGGGTCTTATATAGACAGGTGTGTGGCTTTCCTAATCACGTTCAATCAGTATAATCAAACACAGCTGGACTCAAATGAAGGTGTAGAACCATCTCAGGGATGATCAGCAGAAATGGACAGCACCTAAGTTAAATATATGAGTGTCACAGCGAAGGGTCTGAATACTTATGACCATGTGATATTTCAGTTTTTCTTTTTTAATAAATCTGCAAAAATGTCAAAAATTCTGTGTTTTTCTGTCAATATGGGGTGCTGTGTGTACATTAATGAGGAAAAAAATGAACTTAAATGATTTTAGCATATGGCTGCAATATAACAAAGAGTGAAAAATTTAAGGGGGTCTGAATACTTTCCGTACCCACTGTATGTTCAGCCGGGATGGCATTCCAGACTTAAAGGAGCCAGCCATAAACCGTTCCCCGCCATATACTGCTTTTCTCCCTCTGCTTTTCTCCTTATATATGTCGCCACTTGCTGCCATCATATCCAGTCATAATGTTCTTTTTCATTTTTATGCTGACGATATCCAAATTTACATGCCTCTGCTACCAACAAAATCAGGCTCGCTTGTCGTATTGCAGAACTGTCTACGTGACGTTAAAATTTGGTTAGCTCAAAATCTCCTCCACTTAAATGAAGATAAAACTGAATACATTATTAGTCCCCACCCAGCTGTGGCTATATCTGACTTAGGCACTTCTGCCCCCCATGCCTAAAACGATGTAAGAAACCTGGGAGTTATATTTGACGCAAATTTTAACTTTGATAGACAGATTAAGTCCGTGGTAAAAATGAGCTTCTACCAGTTAAGACTGTTAGCTAAGGTAAAACCATTCTTGTCTCGTACTGATTTAGAGAAAGCCATTCATGCCTTTGTGACCTCCCGGCTTGATTATTGTAACGCCCTTTATGCCAGCTTGTCCCAGTCATCTTTGTCTAGGCTTCAGCTGGTCCAAAATGTGGCTGTCCGTTTGCTCACAAACACTTGTCGGCATGCCCATATTACCCCGGTCTTGGTGTCTCTCCATTGGCTACCTGTAAAATGGAGAGTGGAGTTCAAGATCTTGCTCTATGTTTTCTGTTAGGGTTAGCCCCCCTCACCAGGAGGGTGAGAGAGAACTAGGGGTAGGACACAAGATAGCTGACCCAGGTGCTAGTACAAAACAAAGGTTTAATGGGGAAAAAGAAGACAACGCCAACGTAACAACAAAACAGGGTCCGTAATACTCACAACAAAGGAAGGGCAGTGATAACAAAGAAGACCGGGACGAACAGGTAAACAAACAAACTAACAGCAGGAGGCGAGGTACATGTTGTCTATAGCGGTGTGGTAGTGGAAACGTGCAGGACCCAATAAAGATGCCTGGAGACCCGGAGTAGCTTCGAAGACGTCTTTTATTTCATGCAGCATGGAGGGAAGTCATACACAACTTAGCAGTCGCGCAGAGTTCTCTATCTGACTGGTAAAGGGCAGTCCCTTTTATACCAAAAGTGATACAATTACACATCTATAAAACTCATACCATTGTCTCATATCTAACAACCCACATATCGTCCCCAGCTGTCTTTGGTGCCT